ATTTCACTACTTTGTAATATACCATTGTATGACTATTCCACAATTTATCTATTCTACTGATGATGTATATTTGTGTTTTTTTCAGTTTGCGTACATCTGAATGGTCTGTGTGACCATTTTGGTCCGTGACTCCTGGAATTAGATTTCCCCCTAATGTTTACATCAAAAGTGGAATTGTTAGATTGTGGAATGCACACATGTTCAGCCTTATAAGGATATGTCCAATTGTTTTCTCTGAATGATTTTAACAATTTCCTGCTCCTACCAGGATTAGATAAGAATTCCTGTTGCTCAGTCTCCTTGCCAAGATCTCGTTTGTCTGATTTTAAATTTTTTGCCAGTTAGGTGCAAAGTGGTATCTTATTAAGGATTTAATTTGCATTTACATTTCCCTGATAGGTAATGAAATTGGTCATCTTTTCAAGTGCTTGCTGTCCGTTTATAATTTCTTTTCCGTAAAATGCCTCTTTATGTCTTTGCCTATTTGTTTTTTGGGTTGCTTGTCTTTTTCTTGTTGATTTGTAAGAATTTATTATCCATTTTGAATATAAATATTTTGGGTTTTATATATATTTTAAATGTCTTCTAATTTTTAGCAGCTCCTCTCATTCTATAATTTCTCTTGATGAACATAAACTTCATTTTATGATAGTTGAATTTATATATCTACTATTCATGCTTTGAATTTTTATTCTATTTTTAAAATCTACTCCACACTGAAGATATAAAAGATTTTTTTTCTCTATTACACTTAAAACTATCATTATATCATATTAATTTATTTTTCATCTTCCCACCAGAATCTAAATTCAATTAAGGTAGAATATTTGCTTGTTTTATTCATTTTGGTATCTCTAGTACATAGTGGGAACTCAATACAAATTGTTGAAGGAAATCATGACTTAATGCCAGAGAGCATGAAATGTTCTTCAGTATTTTGGATTAGCTCATTTTCCCAAGAATGCATGTCCTCTGAGGCTGTTTCATTTCCCTTGTCCTGCCATATTTTTCATATGTTCCATTTTCATCTTATAATCAGGTGGATCTATTTGGACTTGGTGTCTTCATATGCGCACATAACAGAGGGGCTTGTCCTCGGGCTGCTCTCTGCACATCTTTGATTTCGTCCATCTCCACTCTCAGACCTACAGCTGGCCTGCGGGTGGATGTATGCCATTGCCAGTCTGATTCCTTCTCCTAGCAGGCTTTCATCCAGTGCATTTCTGTCTGACTGTGGTGTATTCTTCCCCTACTCCCAAGGCCCTCATTCCCAAGGTAGTCAGGGCTAAGGTCTGCCTCACAAATAAGAAACCCTACATTTCAAAGAACTAAGTTCCCATTCTGCCTTTCTAGTTGTTTTGTTGTGGCTGCTATTGCAGTTGTTGTTTTCAGAGTAATTTTTTACTCCATACCGCATTTGGAAGAGATGGTGGTGGAAAGAAAGTTGGGGGAAAGGAATTGATCAGCCTCAGGAAGCAGAATACAAGGGCAGGTGCCCACTTCTCTGATGGGCAGGTGCCCACTTCTCTGATGATTTTAGGCCATGTTTTTGATCAAAAGAGTCCAGATCTGGCAACAGAGGCAGTAAAGGGACTGTGCATTTTCCTAACATTTATCAGGTGATATTTTTCATGAAACTGGAGTTTACTGCATTTCTGGGTAGTCTGTTTTTGTTTTGTTTAAGTCAGATCCAAGTTTATTATAACTAATGTTCTTTTACGCCTGACCTTGACATAAGGGAGATTTTCAGTGGACTTGTGCATTGGTATATTTTTCTGGATTATCTTTTGTGAGGCTACATTAAGAAATGCTAGCCAGATTCCATTTTGAGTGAAACCTCCTGCACTGTTATTTACTAAGTATATGCAGAAACTCTTATATTTGGAAAATTCAAGTTCATTCAAATTGCTACTGAATTAGAAGTAGCTTTTTGTCATTACCTAGTTTTAAATCAATAGATATTAAAACTACGATGACCATTTTATTGTTGCCCCCAGTTTTCTGATTTAAAAAAATATATACTAAAACAAGCTCTCAAAATCCAAAGAATATATAATCATTCCTCTATAGCACTATACCAAAGACCTTATCCTATGGGATGTTGTTTAATTTCCTATCATTCAAAAACCGTCTTTCCAATTTTTTAACTACTAGTTTAAGTAACATTAAGTAGATGACAGAATGGAGAAAACATAAAGAAGTATGATTGTAAACAACCTCAATTATTCTGAAGGAAATCTGAAGGATAAAATGATAGCTTCCTTGACTTGGTCACTCTTATATATTATCTGAGAAAAAGTTTATTGAAGCACATTTTGATACTTTAATACCCTAGAATCTTATTGGGAAAATGTTCTGAGAGTCGTGAGAATGTTGACTAATTGGGCTGTTTGTCCCACATGGGATTACACCACTACTTTCTGAATCAGAAGTTCCTGCTATTGCAACATGATTTTTTCTTTATTCTTTTTTTTCTCCCCTTAGAAACAATCCATTTGGGTTCATTACACGGCCATTTGTTAGTTCGGGGCATTGTGCTTGTTTGTAACTACAGTGAAGTCATACTAGGCTGGGTCTGTATATAAGTCAATGGGAGATACTGCAGCTGCTCTGTGAATCATCAAGTGCAGACTGACCCTAATATTTTAACCCCGAAGTCCTGCTTTCCCAACATCATGGGGAATTTTTATTTTAATCATCAAGAAGATTGGTTCAACTTTGGTTTACTCAGTACATGCTGAGCAGACCTATCAATCTGTAAAACTTTAAAAATATATATATTGAAGTATAATATTCTCAGAGAAAGTACACAAATCCTAAGTATATATGGTGAACTTTTACAAACTGAATACACCTGTGTAACTGCTACCCAGATTGGAAAACAGAACATGAACAGCTCCCAAGAAGCTTTCCTATACCCTGTTTTTTTTTTTTTTGAGATGAAGTCTCACTCTTGTCCCCCAAGCTGTAGTGCAATGTCGTGATTTCAGCTCTCTGCAACCTCCACCTCCCAGGTTCGAGCAATTCTCTTACGACAGCCTCCGGAGTAACTGGGATTACAGGTGCCTGCCACCATGCCCAGCTAATTTTTGTATTTTTAGTAGAGATGGGGTTTCACCATGTTGGCCAGGCTGGTCTCGAACTCCTGACCTCTGGTGATCCACCCACCTCAGCCTCCCAAATTGCTGGGATTACATGTACCCCCTTTTTATCACTAAGCTTCCTCACCAAGGGTAATCACTCTCCTGTTTTGCATGTTTTTATATTTTATGCAAATAGAATTATACAGGATGTGTTATTTTGTATCTGACTTCTTTTTTCATTATGTTTATGAGGGTTGTACAAATTTATCGTGTATTGTGTTTGTTCATTTCTCCATTCCTACCTTATTGCTATGCAATGTCCCATTGATAAATACAGCACAATTTATTCATTCTGTTGTCAGCAGACATTTGATTAGTTTTCTTTTTTTAAAGTAGGATTAGGTCTATTATGAATGAATATTATGAATTTTCCAGTACATCTATTTTGATTAAAGTACACACACACACACACACACACACACACACACACGTCCTGTTGGATATATAACTAGGAGTAGAATTGCTGGGTCATACTTTTGTGTACGTACAGATTTAATAGATAAGCCAGTTTTTCCAGGGTGGTTGAATGTACTTACTCTAGCCGTTTACAAGAGTGGCAGCTGCTCCACCTCCTCACTAATATTTGGCATATTTTGTCTTTTTCATTTTAGCCAGTCTGGTCAATATGTATTGAATGTGGTTTAATTTACATTTCCTTAATGATAACGAAGCTGACTGTCTTTTTATATGATTGTTAGTAATTTGTATATCTTTCTTTGTGAATTGTCTGTTCGTGTGTGTGTGTGTGTGTGTGTGTGTGTATAGTAAATATTTTCTGTTTCTCTGTGGGTTACCTTTTCACTCTCTTAATGGGTAATGGGGTGTTTTGATGACCAGATATTCCCAATTTTAAAATAACACTCTCACATATTAAAGATCTTGGTAATATTTAGAAAATTGTTAACCAATGTGTGAGGATCTCAGTAGTGACATATTTAACTCAAAACATAATTTATTATTTTTTTCTTTTATGGCTTATGCTTTTCATGTCCAGTCTAAGATATCTTTGCCTACTCCAAATTGGTGAAGTTATTCCATACATTCTTCTAAAATCTGTATTTAGATATGTAATTCATCTGACACCATATTTGTATGTTTTATAATGATCAAGATACATTTTTTTCAAACCAATATTCTGCACATCCCATCATCACTTTACTTGGCTTTTAACTTGTTTGAAATGTGTCCACAAACTTTAGTTTCAGTAAATTTTTAAAATATTTTATTAGAGAGAATTACTAATGTTTCCTGACAAAAATTTTAAACTTGAGATGATTTAAAATGTGTAATATAATTTCTAGAATAATTTAATACTAATGTCAGTTGAAATTTCCTTTAAAAATTCTCCTGTTCAACTGGATCTAGTTTTCAAATCCAGCTATTTATTTATTCAACATCAATCTATAATGCACAAAGCAATTTTTTAAAATAAATTATTGTTCTCATTTTTTCATTTGGATCAATTCAACACATGTTTATTGCATTTCTTTTAGAATGTGGAACAGTTAAGAATGTGGTTGAAGTTTCAAGCTTCATTTTTATGTCATTTAGGTTTTAAGCCATGTAATAAATTTATCAAATATCTGTCAGTAATAAGCCAATCTTTTTAGTAGTCAAAATTATATTAATAAAGAAAGATACAAAGTGAGGATTTTTGTTACTATTAGGTTAGCCTTAGACCCCTTATATAATTCCTCATACCAAGTTTTCCACTAGTAAAAATGATACATATCTTTTAAGACATAAAAATCGAAAATATAAAAGTTTCATTTTTATATTTTGAATACCTACGAATGTTTACTCTTTGATGTCATTTTTGCTTAGTTTTACCTTTTCTCTTTTTAATATTTGTTCCAGGTTGTACTGGTCAGTGGACATCTGGACAGCTGGGATGTTGGACAGGGTGCCATGGATGATGGTGGTGGAGTCTTTATATCATGGGAAGCACTCTCACTTATTAAAGATCTTGGTAAGTATTTAGAAAATTGTTAACTAACGTGTGAGGATTTCAGTAGTGTTATGTTTAACTCAAAACACAAAATACTTGACAGGTTAGTTACTATGATATGTTCAAAGATCCTCTTGAGGTCAGTTGATTCCCAGGAAAGAAATAACTTATTCTCTTAAAGAAATTTTTATTCTTGTGTGCTCCAGACATCTGAAGTGTCAAATGTTATTAGCCACTGGGGGAAATGAACAAGCAAATAAAACTGAAGCAAATGTAACCATACCAGCTGAAGAATATGCAAGGAAAATATGACCAAATGCAAAGAAAAATCAGCAGCACCTCCTACTTTTTTTCCCTTATTTATTTTCAGAGATTATCAGGCTATTAGAACAATGGATAAAGGCCAGTCATCTTTCCAAGATAGAAACAAAAGAGTAAGCTAGTATACAAAGAATGATTTCTATAGCCACAATAAGGAATCTAGGCTGAAAAACTGACCAGATAATTCTTTATTGCAAGGTCTGTCCCACACATGATAGGATATTTTGCAGCATCCCTGACCTTTTCCCACTGGAAGCCAGTAGCATCTTCCCCTAATCTCAAATTATGATAACCAAAAATGTCTCCAGACATTGCCAGATGTCCCCTGGAGGACCAGGGGAAGCAGGTTGCCCCCGTTTAAGAACCACTAAAATAAACTAATAAAAATATCTAGGTAACCTGAATATGGGGTCATTTTGTTAAAGAAAACAAACTAATTGGAAATCTTACATTCTATACATTTACGCTTTTACTATAACTACCATACGTGACAGAAAATATTTTTGAGCACCTACTTTGGTTTTTATAAAGTACTTTGTGGGCCGGGCGCGGTGGCTCACGCCTGTAATCCCAGCACTTTGGGTGGCCAAGGCGGGTGGATCATGAGGTCAAGAGATCGAGACCATCCTGGTCAACATGGTGAAACCCCGTCTCTACTAAAAATACAAAAAATTAGCTGGGCATGGTGGCGCATGCCTGTAATCCCAGTTACTCAGTAGGCTGAGGCAGGAGAATTGCCTGAACCCAGGAGGCAGAGGTTGCAGTGAGCCGAGATTGTGCCATTGCACTCTAGCCTGGGTAACAAGAGCAAAACTCTGTCTCAAAAAATAAATTAATTAATTAAATAAAGTACTTTGTAAAACTGGGCACACAGGTTTAAAGCATGACCTCTGTTCTTAAGGTTCTTAGAATGGAGTGAGTGACCTTCACACACACACATACATACATACATAGTTATCAATATAGACATAATTTCAACATCTAATTTTAGAATTGAAGAAGGTTTGAGAGAGATGTTATCTAGCAAATAAAACTGAAAATCACACATTCTTCACAGAAGATCTGGGAGACACTATGTTAATTCTCTCCTCCCCTTCTCTTAAAAATATTCCCTTGACTATTTCTTCTTTCTGTTTCTCATATCATTCCAGAGTAAAGTGGGTTCTAGAGCAAAGCAGAAAAAAGTCAAACATTTTTCCTCTTTATAAAGGACAGATATTTATTTTGGACATTAATTTTATTTCAGTATGTGTAACCAGCTTGATTGGAAGCACAGTGGTGGAATAAAAAGAGAAACTTTCTTTAGACCCATTTGAATTGGACTTTAGGTCACTTTGTGCTACAAACTACATTTTGGGCCTTAAGTTATTTGAATGCCCTGGACTTCATTTGTCTCATATCTATTCAACCATAAGTTTCAGAGTATTTCATTTGCTCTAGATTGAAATAAAAATAATATCCTCTTTAAGCTTTGAATCTTACTTGTTTGGTACTCAGCATGGGACCCTGTTAATTGAATTGCATTCAATCACATGGATAAATGTCAAATACCGTGCAAAAGTGAGTTGAGTATCTTTTACCAGTTCTCAAAGTACATCAATGTCAGCTGCTTTTGATAGCTAGTGAACAGTCTCTTCAATTCAGGAATTAAATCTCCAAAAGATTTCTGAAAGCCTATTTAAAGATATGAATAGAGCTCTAAAACAAAGAGTAATATTTCTTTTCAGTAGGTGTTATGAGACACCATAGTATACTGTTAAAAACAGGATTCTGGAGCCAGACCACCAGGATTTAAATCTCAGCTCTGTAATTTCCTAGCTGTATAGCCTTAGGCAAGTTACTTTGCCTCTCTGTGCCTCAATTTTCTCATCTGTGAAATGGAGATCATAGTTCCTATCTTATAAAGTTGGTTTGAAAATTAAATACATGATTTACAGAATATACTTAGAATAGGAGCTGGCCTAACTCAAGTTATCGATAAATGTTAACTTTTATAAATTAATAAGCATGATTCTGACAGCACCATTATTTTTCATATAAAAGAAGATGATAATTTAGTTTACCTCCATCCCCGTTAGTGATTACTTTGCCTCCTAACTTAATATGTTAAGTATATTAATGTAACTTTAAATATCCTTTCCCTTTTCTACTTAAGCCACCATCCCTTGTAGGATAGAAACCCAGTGACTGCTCCACTTTTTTTCATTTCATACTAAATTTGTAGAAGTCTTAAATTTCTCCTGGTCACTTCTATACCCTGCTTATGTTGACTGCCCGGCATCCACTCTGTACCTCATTTTTTGTGATTGTACTTATTGAATCTTACTCTTTAATTTTTAAATTGTGAATTTATACTTATAGATTGCCTATGTATTTTAATATGAAGAGCTAAGTTCAACATGTGATATATGAATTCTGGATGGAAATTGCTGATAGACTTGAACTAGAAATGCAGGCTTGGGCTTGAGGCCAAAAAATAGATTCATAATTATATTACTTAATTACATGGAATCCAAACTGTTTAATTGGTAAAATGTGAAAGCTCTGTGGCAATCTCTTTTTCCAAGAAAAATGAGACTCCTTTTGGATGCTATTCCTTGAACGATGTGTCATGCAGCATGTCAGAATCCCTCAGTGGAGCTTGTTAATTTGAAGAGTTGGTCCAGTGGGGCTCTCTGATATTTGGAAATATTTTTCTAAGATTCATCCTTCTGGTATCTTCTCCTTTGTCTTCCCTTCTCGCCACTCTTATAGAATCACTTTTTGCCCAAACCTTCAGCTTAAATTATATTCAATTAATCAAATGGAAGAGATATTTGTGCTTTGTAAATATAATTAGTCTTTCCCAAGTAACTGTCTACAGAAGGCTATTTGCTGTTAAGTGCTGTTGAATACTTCTCTGTGTTTGTGGTTTACTGGACTTGAAACTGTTTATTTGAAATATTATTTCCTGGAATGTTCTGGTGTCAGTGGACAAAGCCTATGGCCAATGATGCTCCAGAATGCTAATTTGGCACTTGGAAAATAAATTACTATTCAGCCCAAATTCTTCCAACTGTATCATTTTCTGTGAAGTTAGAATTTTGAGCTTTCAGGTCTAAAGAAATAAGAATTAACAGTATTACCTGGTTGTTGAAATGTGGGATATATAAGAAACATTTTTTTTCAGAAAAATGTAAATGATGAGCCTCCTGATTGTGATAACTACAGAGCTTGAAAGTCTGTTTCTTAGAAAAATATTTTATTGGTATGTTTCTTCATTCATTCACTCAACAAAAATTTGTTGTGCATTGACTGCTGGTTCATGTATCAGATGCCTTGCACCAAAAAGGTAAGAGACATGACTCTTTTAAGTCCTTGAAGTAGGAGAGACATTGAATTAAAAAATTGCAATGAAATTGTGGAAAGTTCTCTAAATGTAGGATGTACATATTACTTTGGGCACCTGGTTAGGAGAGGGACCAACATGGCTTGACTGGATCAGAACTTCACTAAGATGTTATTTGAAGTTTCTTTTATTAGGATAAATAGAAACTCCTGAGGCAAATGGTGCAGAATGAAGAATTCTCAGCAGAGTACAGAGCTTCCAGTTCTGTCATCATTAAAAATGAGAAGAAAATTGTTGACAGTAGCAGTCTTGGGATTGTCGGGAGAGGCAGGGGTTGTGGAATTATAGGAGATGTTTACTTTTTACCTGATATATTTACATAATGTTAGATTTTTGTGTAGTAAGTATGCGTTACTTCAGTAATCAAGAAGAAGCCATCAAATGCTCCCCTACCCCACTCCCAAAAAAGAAAGTAAAATGTAAAGAAAGAGTTTAGGTATTGTTATTATCATAAATACCCTGTTAACAGAAACAACAGGGCAGAGGTAAGGAGTTGGAAGAGTTGTCCAAGAGTCACCAAGCCATCCTTGCCCAGAATACAACCATGAAGACAGCCAAAGGCATGCCAGGGCTTTGATGCAAGTTCCACTGTAACTAGAGCTTTATGCAGCCATTTCCAATGCAGTGTGTTCTCTTTTAGAAGTAAGGACCCATCTGGGAAGAAGATTTTCTTCCCTAAGGCTCTAGTCAAGTCTGCCTTGGAAAAGCCCCAGGAAATGCAATTCAGAGTAACGGAGAAGAAAATGAACAGCTTCCAGTGAAATGGAAACCTGAAGTGTAGAACTAGAGATGGCTGGAGAACTGAAACAAATCTGGGACTAGCCCAGACTCACAAAAGAGATCTCTTTTGGAAAGGACTTCTCTACTGAGTTTAGCCATACCGCTGGGTGAAATAAAAATATTCAGGGCTTGCACTGACTGAAGATTACTATTGTAGGCATTGTGCTAATCACTCCACTAAGTACATATTCTCTTTTATTCCTGAAAATAAATCCAAGCAGCAGATAACTCTTGTTATATCAATTTTAAAGAAGAGGAAACCAAAGCAGAGAAAAGCTAAGTACCTTGTCCAAGGTCACCAGCTATTATGTTAACATTTAAATCTAGGCACCCTGATACCATGCCCAATACTCTTAAGTACTTTATACTATTGTTTTAATGGAACAGCACTCCCAGTCTGTTTCTAGGAACACTCATACTCAGGATAACGAGATATTATAAAGAAAGGGGGGGAAAATGTCCTATTCTCAAAGAAGTTTGGGAACTCCCTACTGGGAGAGTACTCCATGGGTATAGTGTACTTTGGAACACA